CCGGCAGAATCAGGTCCCCCCTTCACCAGGCCAGACCCAGCCCAGTCAGACACCAGCTGAGCTCTGCCACACACTGGAGAGGGGCACGTCTCCGGGCGTTTGCCAAGGCAGGGCATTCCCTACATCTCCCCCTGGCTGCCACCCAGCGGCTTCATCCCCGCCTCCGTCAGCTGGGGGGCCTGCAGACGAAAATGGGGGAGGGCGAGAGGAACCCCCAACCCAGCACCAGGCCCCCCAGTTCTTCCTCCCCTCCCCCACCACTGTCCCCACGGGCACCACGGCCACCACTCGCACTGGCTACCGCAGCTCCCTTCACCGCAGCCTCCTGCCCCCCCAGCACGGGCAGGGCACAGCTGCTGCCGCCTTCTCCCAGCCATTGCACCGAGCAGCAACACGTCCCGCCGGCCCCTGCGCCTCTCAGGAGCTCGGCGTCCGAGCGCTCCATGGATTCCGCCAGCCCCCGCCCTGCCTGCGGCCCCTCGCTACCCCCGGCCCTTCGCAGACCCCTCCATGCTCCACGCAGCCCCGGGGCCCCCTTCTGAAGCAGCCACCTGCTGTAACGTTGCCAACCCGGCAGTCTCAGGCATTAACGACCAATCTTGAATTAAAGATTACGTCACGGGATGAAACCTCCAGGACTCTGTCCAGCCAGGATTGGCCCCCCTAGCTGCTGTGATGGCTTGCCGCTCCGTGCTGGCAGGCGCCCGGCAGGCCCAGTTCTCAGGGAGAGCGGCCAGGCAGGATGACTTTCAAAGCCCGCGTCCCGGCTGCTCCGCTCCTCAGAGACGTGGCTCCGAAGGGCCACCTCAGCGGGTCACCGGCTCACAATCCTGAGCGAAGGCAACTGCCCCAGGCCAGTGGGAACCAGAGTCAGGGGACACCACGCAGCGTCGCCCGGAGCCGTGCGGGCGAGGGGAACCAGGCGCACACAGCACCGCAGGGAGAGCCGTCTGCCTCCATGACAGGTGCCCCCACCCACAACAGACCGGGCGTCTCCTCCCCGCCGTGCACAGTCAGAGCTCACAGTAACAAGCCCCTCAGGGCCCCACATGGGCCCCCCCGCTTCCCCCACACTGCAGAATGGTCCCCCAATGACACAGGGCCACGCACGGTCCCCCACGCTGCAGGCACGGTCCCCCCATGACACAGGGCCACGCATGGTCGTCCCCCCCCTGTGCTTCCCCCACACTGCCGGCATGGTCCCCCAACGAC